CTTGATTAGTTAGTTTAGATATTTAGATAGGGGATCCTTTTATCGCTTAGAAATCTTACAAAAGGAACAATAATCGCTTGCTTCAATGGAAGCTGCGCCGAATCTTAAAGTAAAACTAACTGTTAATTAAAAAATGTTCTTCATGGAGACCAGGATTTAGTCAATCATAGGCACGCAGGTTTGAAATCGAAAAGAATATATCAGCAACGAGTATTCACTTTGGCTTTTTTTCCGCTGAAATGTGTTGGTTTACAAAAATTCGGCGAAGCTATTTGCAAGCAGCGAAAATCGAAAATTGATTGTCATTGCAACCATTGAGGAAAACGATCATATCCAACATCTCTTTTTAGGCACACGTAGCTGAAAAAGAAAAAAAAACAACTACAAAAAAAAAAAAGCGTTTTCATATATTCTTACGTTATCAAGCGGCAGAATACCTAATTTTTCAGTACGTGTCTTCACAGGAACTTAGTTTCACCAACATAGAAGAGGCGAATTTCAAGTGATTTAAAATTCATGGTTTGACGAAAAGATATCACCTTAAAAGGAACTAATGCCCTATTTTGCCATGATGTTAAACAGAACCACAACAAGAAAAAATAGCAAACAGTTGATACGTTCAAATTACAAAGTTATACATTTACGATAGAGCAGTTTTCAATCAAGTGTCGTAAAACCAAAACCAAAGTAATCACTCCAGCCAATCACAAAGGACACAACCAATACAGAGAACCAATCAAAACTCAAAGTAATCACATGTAGCTGACGCTAAGCGCGGGAAAACGTGTGCGAACGAGTCACTATTGGTTTGGTTTTACTTCTGATTGGACGAAAAAATGGCGCCAGTTTTTAACTAATCGTGAGGCGCAGTAGGTACACAACTAATTACTTTTCGACACTCAAATGAAAACCGCTTTATCTGCTCTCTGTTGTATATTTCGAGACGGGGGACCGCGAACACGGATAACCATGTGATTTGACTTATATCTGGCGAATGGAACGTCGTTTTCAGTATACGCAAATTTTCGAGAATTTCTTACCGGGAATTTCGCTTCCATTCGATTTTCCTCTAAGCATTTCCAGAATTTTCGGTTAAATGATTCACATTTAGGAATTTTAGCAACTTTTTGGGGCTTTCCGGAAACTTGTCCAGAAAATTTCCATAACATTTACCCCCTTTTAGAAAGTTCCGGGTTATCTGGATGGAAGGAAAGCGCCCAATGTCTTCATTCTTTATTGTAACTGCACAGACTTTTAAAAGGTTATCACACTTGAATAAAATTCAA